ACACCCGCCTATGAGTGAGAACATGCGGTGTTTGATTTTCTGCTCTTGTGTCAGTTTGCTGAGAATGATGGTTTCCAGGTTCATCCATGTCCCTACAAAGGACACGAACTCATCATTTTTGATGGCCGCATAATATTCCATGGTATATATGTGCCACATTTTCCCTGTCCAGTCTATCATTGATGGGCATTTCGGTTGTTTCCAGGTCTTTGCTATTGTAAATAGTGCTGCAATGAACATTCGTGTGCACGTGTCCTTATAGTAGAATGATTTATAATCCTTTGGATATATACCCAGTAACAGGATTGCTGGGTCAAATGGAATTTCTATTTCTAGGTCCTTGAGGAATCGCCACACTACTACCTACTTTAGGCAGTCGTAGGCAGTCTTGGCTTTGGAATCAGACGGACTCAGATCCAGCAATGGCTTTGTCAGCATGAGCTGGGCACCTTGGGCAAAAATGACTTCTGCTCTGTGGCCCCAGCATCCTCATGTGTGGCATGGGCAAGTGGTGCCTCCCAGATGGTGGTGGTGGTTTGCATGGATTACTCCACAAAAGCACTTGGCACAGGGGCCCACAGTGGAGGCCCCTGTTATTTCTTCAATCTGGAGGCCAAGGGTGAGCCTCAGAGACAGACAGCCTTGTTGGAATCCCAGCTCTGTCAGCGGCTGCTGGTATGGTCTTGGGAAAGTAACAACCTCTCTGTGCCCCAGTTTCCTGATTGGTAAAACTGGGGTAGTAATAATTCCTGCTTTCCAGGGTTGCCATGAAGAGTAAGTACGCATCGCCTAGTACACAGCCTGGCTCTCAGCTGTTTTGATTATTCCACTGACAATGATGAGCACACAGCTGATAAGCCAGGCACTTAGTGCCTGGACAGGGCAGGGAACAAAATACAGTTCTTTCCCTACAGAGTTCTTGGTGCAAGGAGAGAGACACCTTAACAGGCAAGGATAACACTGCATCAGGGAGGTGATGGGGTGGGGAAAGCTTCCCTGGGAGGTGACCTTCAACCTGAGACCTGAAGTGGCAGTGGGAAGCCATTGGCCACGAATCAGGGTAGGAATAGCATCCAGGTGTATGAACGGCATTGCCAAGGCCCAGGGTGAGAGGCAGCCAATCTCAGTCAGTGTGGAGCTCTAGCCCCTCACCGGGAGCAGGGGGCTTGCACTTCCCCCAGCAGCCCGGGTTCGCCTGTGCTCCCGGTTTGCGCTCAGTGGGCGTGGCTCCCGGCTGCCAGAGGGGCGGGTCGTCCCCAGCGGGCCCTCACCGCCACCCAGGAGCCGGGTCCCGGGCTGGTGGGGGCACCCTCCCCTCGCAGCCCCCTCTCTACAGAGCCGGCCTTTTCCGCTCTCGGTGAAACCAGTTTCCTGCCCCTCCCTCCTGCTCTCCTCCCTCCTGCTCTCCTCCCTCCTGCTCTCCTCCCTCCAGCTGTTTCTGTGGCTGAGTTCTGTCCCTGTCCCATTCAGGGAAGCAGCCCCCGCTGCCAGCAGTGAGCTCAGGACGGAGCAGGGCCCCCAGGAAGTCTCCCGGTGGTTAGGGGTGTTCTAGCCGCTGCCCTCTGGGGGTTCAGAGGGGGATCTTGAATGAACGAATGAATGAACTGCTTTCTGGGCAAACTGCCACAGCCAGAGGAGCCGTGTGGTTGGGAGAAAGAAGCCTGGGTGCGCAAGTCTCTTCAACAGCCTTGAGTGGCCTGAAGTCACAGGGAATCCTCAGGAAGAACTTCTGGGCAGAGACCAGCGGGAAGGTATCACCACACACTTGCCTTTGGTGTCTTCTGAGAGGTGCCAGGGAGGGGGAACACTAACAGAGAGATAGTTTGGTTCTTTTTATAATTTCCTATTTGTCAAAAGGAAGAGTTTTGTTATTATTTCCAGATGTCAAAAGTAATGCATGTTCATTGTTTAAAGAAATAGCAGGATGCCAACTAAATATGTGAGTGTGGATTCCCACCTCTAGTTTGGTAACCTACTTAACCATGGATTGTGAGCTTTCTTCCATATCACCTATATTCTTCCAATATACATTTTTCATGGCTGCGTAGAAAGAATGTCTTACAATTATTTGACCTTTCCATATTAGATTTGCTTCTTTTTCTTTTCTATTAGAACAGTGCTGCAATGAACACTTTATCTAGTGTGACATCTTCGTGTGTGTGTTTATGAATACCTTTTAAAAATTGTTGGATTTAAGGTTTCTTTTAAGACTTTGCGCTTTTGGTCACGGTGTCTCTTGGAAGGTTGTGGCAGCTTGACCTCTCTATGATGTTAAACCAGGATGCAGTATTCTCATATCCTAAACCCACCTTTTAAACCTTCCCTGATATGAAGTTGAGAATAATATCTAGATGCTTCGATTGGCATTTCATTTCTTTATTAGTGCTGATTCTCATTTATTAACTTATTTTCCGGATTTCTAGTGTGCTCTCCTGTTCAAATCTGTTCCCATTTTTTTTCTGCTTGGGGGCATGCTTATCTTTTTCTTATTGATATCTAAGAGTTCTTTGTATATGAAGGACACAAACCCTTTGTGGGTTACTCTCTGTTGAAAATATTCCACTCCCTCCTCTGTTTTCAGAATAGCCCATTTTAAATGGACAAGCCGGCTTTTGGCAAAATTACAAACAAACAACACATTGTAGTGATCAGGGAACTACTTCTTGATATAAGCACGATCACTCAGACCCGTGCAGTTCAGAGATGCCAGGTCACTGCTCTGAGGTCACACGCCGGATGTCCAGGTTCTGAGTCTTTCTTTTCTGTTAGGGAAAGCCCTCAACTTCCTTTTGCATCCCCTACCTGTTCACAAGGCCGTTCTTCTCTGTGGTTCCTGCTGTCTCTCCTGCCCCTTCCAAACTGCTTTGAAGGAAAGATTCCTCTAAATGCCTTGGCTGCTGAGTGAGTGGGACTGGGTCATTCATACCTCCGGCGGAGGAGGAGGCAGCTTGGGTTTTTCTTTGGAAAAAAGGTTTAACCTAAACTAGTGACACTCAAATGGTATGTCAGACACTCAGGAGGCCCACAGGAAGAGTTATCTCTTGATGTATAGGGACCTTCTTTGGACTCCCCTAAGGCTTCAGGGAATAGATAACCTTGCCTTTGGGCAAGTCCTGCCCTTCTCCGGCTTGACTTGTTCTGAGAAGGTCCCCACCTGCACTGGGTCAGGGTTTGTCTGCAAGGCTCTCCCAGGGCCTGTCCCTCCCTTATCACCGCTCCTGCCACACTGTGCTCTAATGACCAGTCATCTTGTCTGTCTCTCATTCTAGCCGGGAGGCTCCTGGAGGCTAGATCTGGGATATTGCTTTTTTTCTGTATCCTCAGTCCCCTGCATAAAAACTAACATATATTAGGGTCATTGAATAGTGTTCGTTGAATAAATCAGTTTTGCCATCTGTAAAATGGGGTGGGGGAAGTTGAACTAAAGCCCCATCTCTTAGATGTTTACCTAATAACTCCTCTCAGTTTGCAAACCACTTTCTCGAGATGATTTTCTCGAATCCTTACCATGGCCATATGATGAAGGTTCTAGTAACATGCCCATTTTACAGATTAGGAAACTGAAGCCTGGAGAGCTCTGATGCTAGACCTCCCCGCAAGAGGCGACAGAACATTGTGCAAGAAGGGGCAGCTTGGTCTTAGGCAAGATCCTCCCACTCTCTGGCCACAATAATATCTGTAAATAAGGATGATATTATCTGATATTATTATCACTCCAAGGCTGGGTTTGAACTGGTCTGCCACCTGCCAACTGTGTGACATGGAATAAGTTATTCCTTATCTTTGTGCCTTAATTTCCTCATCTATAAAATGGGAATATGGTCAGTAACTGCCTCATAAGATTATTCTAAAGAGGAAGTGAGATCATACATGTAAAGCAGTAGACAGAGGTTTGTTGTAAAATAAGGGCTCTATAAACATTAGCTGTTGTTCTGATTGTGTTTGTCTGTACCTGTGGCAGTCATCTGAGCCAAGTGGAAGTTATTATTGGTTTCTTTAGTAGATTATTAATGCTGTCATTCCCACTGATGTACAAGAAAACCAAAAGCCTATTTCACTCTCTTTGAGCTACACCACAGTGGTGCAGTCATTGCTGCCAGTTGTGAGGCTATGAAGTAGACTCAGAGCTTCTCAAAGTGCAATCTCTAGACCACCTGCATCAGGATAATTGCAAGTGTTTCTTAAAGCTTTAGTTTGGAAATCAGAATCTCTGTGGATGAGGCTTGAGTGTCTGCATGTTGAACCAGCACCCCAGGTCATTCAGATGCACCCCAAAACTTGAGAACCACCAACCTAGATTACTTAAAAGTCTTTGCTTTTTGCCCTTTGTTCACACCAGGGTCTTGGGTTCTTTGCTGCACAATGAGGTCTCTTTTTTCCTTTCTAAGCAAATATTCATGGACTTCTGTGAATCCGCATGTTCTGTGTCAGCAGTTGAGGCCAGAAGGTTTGGCAGAGAAGAAGTGAAACTTTGTCTTATAGTACCATAGAAAGTCAGATCATGTTACCAATCGCCCAGTGTAGGGGCTTTGAACTTATTTTCAGCCACAGAATCCTTTCCACAAATGAAAGTCTATGGGGAAGTACAATTTGAAAACAGATAAAAGTGGTGTTATTCTCGTTGAAGCAGAGGTGGAGGACTCCAGGCTGCCACTAAATCTCACCCTTGTTGATGAAGGGCCTCTAAGAATCTTTGTAGCTCCATGGGGCAGGCAGGAAACTGCAACTCCTCTACTCTAAGGAGTTAAGAGACCAACTTCTAGACATTTGTTGAGCTTACTGTGTGACCTTCAACAAGGTACTCCCACTCTCTGGCCACAATAGTTTCATCTGTAAATAAGGAGGTCAAATGGTGTATCAGTAGCATAGTAGCTGCAGTAACAAATAGGCCCCCAAAGGCATAAGCGCTGAAGCAAAACAGAGCTTTATTGTAAGGCAGGTAATTCTGAATGGAGGTTGATCCTCTTTCACTTCAGTGATTCATCTGGTGGTCCCACTGTCTCCTTGGATATCCTCACTGTCTGGAGCCGGGTGCAGAAGACAAAAGAAAGTATGGAGGTGGCAGGCACATTCGCTCATCTGCTTTGGCCTGGAAGCAGCAGGCGCCTCTTCCATCGCACGTGAGAACTATCATATGGCCAATCTAGTTGCAAAGGCGGCCAGGACATGGAGTTACAAAAATCTGAGCTTCTTGGCAAAGGCAGCTCTTTCCCAGCCACAATCATGTATTGTGGACAGGGAGAATGAATTATTGTGGACAGCTACCTGTCTCTGTCACAAATATGGTGACCTCTTGGTTGCTTCCATTCTTTGATTCTAAGTCTACATTTTCAATAGTCAATCTTAGTTAACATGGTGATGTTGGACTCAAAACATCACCCATCCTCAAGGTCATTCCCATCAAATATATGAAGTAAATTTCCAGACTCCAGGCCCCTAAACATGGATTTTTCTGAAAACATCATAGGCAACTGCCATTCTCTTTCCCTTCTGGAAAAAGGAAATAAGAATAATGATTTGATAGGGCATGTCGTGGTTATTAAGCCAAAGGTATTTATATCCATTATCCTGTTGAATCTCCCTACAACCCTGCATGGCAAGGCTTTAGGTCTATCATCCCCATTTTATAGGTGAAGAAAACGAGGCTCAGAGAGGTAAAGGGACTTACCTAAGGTCACACAGCTCATAGCAAAAGAATGAGATTTGAACTGAAAAAACCTTATTCTTGTCCCAGGGTCGCATTGCACATTTGAATGTTGGTGTACATGTATGTATACATGGTGTGGTTAGAGTAGGGATTTTCCTTGGGCTGGGCTCCCCCAGGGCTGGGCATGAGGGAAGTGAAAGCTCAGGAATCATGGTCAAACTTCCCAGAATGGGCCAAGGCTGCCGACTGTAAGGAAGCTGGGTGGTTGTCCTGGGTCTGGCTTGCAGAGTCCAGTGTGACCTAGTATTACAGCCACTGGCTGTGAAGAACAGTAGGGATAGAGCATGAGGGTGTCGTGTGGTTCTGGAAGACATTGAGGCCTCAACTAGGCTGGCCACATAGTGGGTGCTTGGGAGCAATTTCCTGTGTGAATCAACCCATGTGGGAGTGACAGCTGCAGCACTGTGAGAAAACGAGACAAATCAGGCCTGTTTCCTGTCTTTGAGGCCCTCAGGGGAGGAGAGACGAACTTGTAACATAGGCTTTTATTCATTCATTCAACAGACATTTATTAGCGTCTACTATATGTCAGGCCCTCCATAGGGCAAGAACGATGGAAGGACAGGAACCCATTTGAGAGATGAGGAAAGTGAGACTCTGACTGGGTATGTGACATTCCCAAAATTGTTTAGCCAGATTAGGAGTTGAAACACCTGGTTTCCAGCCCAGGACTTTTTCCATACCCCCTGCTGAGGGAGTGGCCCTAGGCCAGGACTGAGATGCAGTGAAGAGGTCCTGTCATTGGCAGCCCCTTTGTGCTACTGCTGGACTCAGGACATGCTGGTTTCAGGCAATAGAAGGAAATCAGTTATTTCTTTGTAGAACCTCTAGATCTTTGCAGCAATGGGCACAGATTGAGAAAAAGTAGAAATCTTTGTGCTGTCAGATGGAATCAAGAGGCAGTAATTCTACGGGATGCTATCAAAGAAAGAAATGTTGGCGTCTGGGTGGCACTGGCTGGCAGCACACTGTGGTGATGATAGATCCCAGATCCAAGTGCCCTAGAGGTGAGATTCCAGCTCTGAACTTTAACCTCCCGACCCC